TAGTTATACATACGGAACACACCCAAATGTATTGTATGTAGGTATAGTTATACATACGGAACACACCCAAATGTATTGTATGTAGGTATAGTTATACATACTGAACACACCCAAATGTATTGCATGTAGGTATAGTTATACATACGGAACACACCCAAATGTATTGCATGTAGGTATAGTTATACATACGGAACACACCCAAATGTATTGTATGTAGGTATAGTTATACATACGGAACACACCCAAATGTATTGCATGTAGGTATAGTTATACATACGGAACACACCCAAATGTATTGCATGTAGGTATAGTTATACATACGGAACACACCCAAATGTATTGTATGTAGGTATAGTTATACATACGGAACACACCCAAATGTATTGTATGTAGGTATAGTTATACATACGGAACACACCCAAATGTATTGTATGTAGGTATAGTTATACATACGGAACACACCCAAATGTATTGTATGTAGGTATAGTTATACATACGGAACACACCCATATGTATTGTATGTAGGTATAGTTATACATACGGAACACACTTAAATGTATTGTATGTAGGTATAGTTATACATACGGAACACACCCAAATGTATTGCATGTAGGTATAGTTATACATACGGAACACACCCAAATGTATTGCATGTAGGTATAGTTATACATACGGAACACACCCAAATGTATTGTATGTAGGTATAGTTATACATACGGAACACACCCATATGTATTGTATGTAGGTATAGTTATACATACGGAACACACCCAAATGTATTGTATGTAGGTATAGTTATACATACGGAACACACCCAAATGTATTGTATGTAGGTATAGTTATACATACGGAACACACCCATATGTATTGTATGTAGGTATAGTTATACATACGGAACACACCCAAATGTAATGCATGTAGGTATAGTTATACATACGGAACACACCCAAATGTATTGTATGTAGGTATAGTTATACATACGGAACACACCCAAATGTATTGTATGTAGGTATAGTTATACATACGGAACACACCCAAATGTATTGCATGTAGGTATAGTTATACATACGGAACACACCCAAATGTATTGCATGTAGGTATAGTTATACATACGGAACACACCCATATGTATTGTATGTAGGTATAGTTATACATACGGAACACACCCAAATGTATTGTATGTAGGTATAGTTATACATACGGAACACACCCAAATGTATTGTATGTAGGTATAGTTATACATACGGAACACACCCAAATGTATTGTATGTAGGTATAGTTATACATACGGAACACACCCATATGTATTGTATGTAGGTATAGTTATACATACGGAACACACCCAAATGTATTGTATGTAGGTATAGTTATACATACGGAACACACCCAAATGTATTGTATGTAGGTATAGTTATACATACGGAACACACCCAAATGTATTGCATGTAGGTATAGTTATACATACGGAACACACCCATATGTATTGTATGTAGGTATAGTTATACATACGGAACACACCCAAATGTATTGTATGTAGGTATAGTTATACATACGGAACACACCCAAATGTATTGTATGTAGGTATAGTTATACATACGGAACACACCCATATGTATTGCATGTAGGTATATTTATACATACGGAACACACCCATATGTATTGCATGTAGGTATATTTATACATACGGAACACACCCATATGTATTGCATGTAGGTATATTTATACATACGGAACACACCCATATGTATTGTATGTAGGTATAGTTATACATACGGAACACACCCAAATGTATTGTATGTAGGTATAGTTATACATACGGAACACACCCATATGTATTGCATGTAGGTATATTTATACATACGGAACACACCCATATGTATTGTGCATGTAGGTATAGTTATACATACGGAACACACCCAAATGTATTGCATGTAGGTATAGTTATACATACGGAACACACCCAAATGTATTGTATGTAGGTATAGTTATACATACGGAACACACCCAAATGTATTGCATGTAGGTATAGTTATACATACGGAACACACCCAAATGTATTGCATGTAGGTATAGTTATACATACGGAACAGGGAACACACCCAAATGTATTGCATGTAGGTATAGTTATACATACGGAACACACCCATATGTATTGCATGTAGGTATAGTTATACATACGGAACACACCCAAATGTATTGCATGTAGGTATAGTTATACATACGGAACACACCCAAATGTATTGCATGTAGGTATAGTTATACATACGGAACACACCCAAATGTATTGTATGTAGGTATAGTTATACATACGGAACACACCCATATGTATTGTATGTAGGTATAGTTATACATACGGAACACACCCAAATGTATTGCATGTAGGTATAGTTATACATACGGAACACACCCAAATGTATTGCATGTAGGTATATTTATCCATACGGAACACACCCAAATGTATTGTATGTAGGTATAGTTATACATACGGAACACACCCAAATGTATTGCATGTAGGTATATTTATACATACGGAACACACCCATATGTATTGCATGTAGGTATATTTATACATACGGAACACACCCATATGTATTGCATGTAGGTATAGTTATACATACGGAACACACCCAAATGTATTGTATGTAGGTATAGTTATACATACGGAACACACCCAAATGTATTGTATGTAGGTATAGTTATACATACGGAACACACCCATATGTATTGCATGTAGGTATAGTTATACATACGGAACACACCCAAATGTATTGCATGTAGGTATATTTATCCATACGGAACACACCCAAATGTATTGTATGTAGGTATAGTTATACATACGGAACACACCCAAATGTATTGCATGTAGGTATATTTATCCATACGGAACACACCCAAATGTATTGCATGTAGGTATATTTATCCATACGGAACACACCCATATGTATTGCATGTAGGTATATTTATCCATACGGAACACACCCAAATGTATTGCATGTAGGTATATTTATCCATACGGAACACACCCAAATGTATTGCATGTAGGTATAGTTATACATACGGAACACACCCAAATGTATTGCATGTAGGTATATTTATCCATACGGAACACACCCATATGTATTGCATGTAGGTATATTTATCCATACGGAACACACCCATATGTGGTAAATTGCCTGTGTATTATTAACGTTCTTTGTTCACAGGATTAGCCAATAATACAATGACTGATTGCCCAGCGTTGTTCAACTAAATCATGTTCCAAAAGACCAGTGGATATCATGAAGATTGCTATCTCGGCAGACAGTTCACGCCACCTCGATACGTTATATATATTTTCCAGGATGAGATGAGTTAAAAGACACGTGATATGATTGGCTGTCAGCTGCAGATGTATGGAGTATTGCTCATTGGTGTGGATACAGACAGACAGACTCCTCGAACCAGGTTACTATCTGATGAGTTTCACTTTCTGTCGGTTGTAATTCACGATAAGTCCATTTTGTTTGTATTCATTTGTTGTAGCATCGAACAGAATCATTGAACTTCATGTACGTTATCGTTTGTGAATTTGTAAGATGCGAGACAGACAACACTAAATCGGTGATTTCACAAGCTTTTTCGTTGTAGACGATGTATGAAACATCTGGATATTACAAAAGCACTAAACAAATGCTCGACTAACTTCTTTATGAATTTTAACGTGGATACAAACATAACCAGTTATGATGCTACGAGTTTAACCAAAACAGAATATAGATGTAAACTGACTTCAGTTTTCTTGGAATCCTAACATAGTTTCTGGGAGATGAAATTGAACTTCAACACTGTTATCATTATGAAGTAGATGCACATATTTTGCAGCCAATTGGTAAATTTAGTGATACATTAAGAGGTCACAGAAGTGACTAAATCATCCAATTAATTCTATCATGAAACTCTGTTTTGTCTTTGTTGACCGTGTGAGACGACGCAATAATGCTATGAATTTCTGCTACGGACGGCGCAACAGAGGTCCGACCTAGACAAGAACTCTGGGATATCATCCGGGTTCCAACCCAAAAAACAACACCCCCCCAAAACGATCACAAACGCAACAGTCAGTCAGACAATGATACCTTTAAGCTATAGATATGGCACTTTTAAATGCACGTGTTATCCATAAGGTGACCATGAGTGATTGATGTTTTGTCAAGCTATATTTTCAAATCGGTCTCAAAGACAATGTATGACTGGAATATTGCTGACTATAACACACCAACCAAACCCCAACAGCCTACACGTCATGGCCGAGTGTATAGTACAACAAGAGGCGACCAAGATTTCCAATTTATACAAATGGTGTGCGTGTCAAGTTTCTAATTCTGTTGAATATGTATATACATTGTATTTACACCATTGCTAGACCTTTGACCCGCATCTGGATTTGCATCGGTCGCTGACATAACAAGCAAGTATTGTAACATACCGTACAAGACGTAGGGTAATACATGCCACGACAGACAAGGGATATGCTGCAAATATTGATATTGTATTCAAGCGGCGATATCGCTTCTGCAAGTCAGCGTATGGTCAATTTAAGGTCAAATATAAGATTACCCATCAAAACTGATCTTGGTGTACGAACCATTAATGCAGAATTTCAGTTGTTTTTACGGTAGATTTCAGACAGACAAAAAATCAGGGTTTTTTCATATGGAGCTCACTGGCGAGGCGATAATGCGCACAACTAACAGCTAGCTAGGGATCAACATTGGACCTCACATCCAGATGCTCGTAATAGGAATAGCCAACGTCCCTGTTCTCTCGATGTTATATCATATTATGGTTTGGGGAAGTCTCAAAACGTCTTTAAGTGGTTAATTTCCTCGATTCTCATAATCATGTTGATAAAAGTACTTTATTTGTCGTGTAAAGGCGTAAATAAAATATCAAGAAAACATATAAATGTACACATCCCATGGGTTACCTTTTCAAAACGTTCTGGAGAGTTCAGGCTTTACCTTTCACATTGAGAACAGCTGATGCTGTGATTATGTTGATCCTGTTGGCCGCCAGACAAGTGTAAGTACCATGATGGGAGGGCCCAGCGTTTGCAATTTGTAGACTGCCCCCAGCGGTAACTATCATTCCATCAACATTGCCACTGGTGACACTCACGTTACCTAGGTGACCAATGTGACAAAGTTAAGGGAACACACAAAAATAACATTAACCAAACATTTATGAATAAATTACAACTGTAGTCAAATCAAACTCATGATTGTTAGATATGTGTCACAAAGGCTCCCTATATCTGCCATTGTCTACTGTCTCAGTGAGATCATATTCCATGGAAGACATCGCCAACTGAGTTGCCCATCAAAATTCTTTGTCTGATTATGCGGATTTGTCTCATAATTCCGTCCATATTTTTCTTTGGTCGACCGATACCAGTCAGACCTGCCTTGCGGTTCCAAGACATCTTTCCCCTCACAATCAACAGGACAACTTCCCCCGACCCTCACTCACACACTTGGTAACTCACAGTAGAGCTATTTCTGACATGTATAGGTAAATGTGTTCGCACGTTACCAGCAGGTGTTTGCCAGGTGTAGACTGGAGGTGGATTTGCAGTAACTCCACAAGTCATCACTACAGCTGACCCCGTCTCAACCTCTTGGCTCACGGGACGTTCATCCATCACAGGCCCATCTGTACACCAATAAAATAAATACAGACAAAAAACAGAAAACAGATATGGAGTTTTTTATTATAAAGAAACAATGGCAATCGGACAACATTTTGTGTATGAATCCCATCTGCATGTCAAACACAAAATATATACAAGCGTTCATTCACACATAGATTCACAATCTATCCTAAGTACTATTCAAGAGTGAAGACACCAGGTGTTCACGGAAAGGTGAGCACCCGGCACAAACACGGGCAAAGGTCAACCTTATTGTTAACCTGAACGAAAGGGGAACATATTGTACAAGTCAAATGGAGAATTGCATAGACATGTGTACCACAAGACTGCAAACGACGTCTGTTTGTACTGTCCAAATGTGTATTCCCCTTCTGCCACTCGCCCAACGTAAAATAATGTCAATAACAAAATAATACCCAATAGTTCCAGGCCGATCCTCACGTGCTAAACAAATACCCTTATCCTTGCACACTAAAGTACCGTCGTAAATGCTAGAAAAATGCTTTTTGACTTATATTTAAAATTCAGAGGTCTGATTTGTGTACAATATTGTAAACTTGTTGGTAAGACATACCAACAGCTCTACAAGTTCTGTAATAAACCCTTTCTAAACTAATGAAAGGTTTACCTCTGTCTTTTTCAAGCACAAAAAACTTATAAACCTTTGCAACAATTGACTGCAAATAGTTGGCCATAGTGGACGCTGTGATAAAGATGTGCATGCATGACGGGACACTTTTTTATCAAGACTTAACATTTATATTAATATTTCTTCAATAAAGAAACGATAATTAAGTAAAGCAACACAAACATTCAACATTTATTTGTTAAAGAAAAACTTTGATTCATATTTTTACACCAACTGTATTATCAGCATAAATGTAAAGACTATTTCAGATTTCTGTTGTTGAACTCTGAAAAAATCTTAAGTTGTTGCTTTGGTACCATATTCTCTCCTGTAAACTGCCCTTTAAATACATGGGAATGTTAAATCGATTGAAATAAAAATTAGGTACACTATAGGCGAGTTGATATATTGACAACATAGTACATTTATCACCTTTATCAAAGTATTAAGGCTAAAAAGCATTTTTCTAGCATTTCCGACAGTCAATTTGATCTACAAAGACTGTTCTGAATCAAAACGGCTTGACTTGTTCATTTAAAGACTATTACAGAGACATCTAATCTTTAAAATTACATAAAATACGTCGTACAATTAGGTACAAAGATAGGATTTATTCTTATTAATTAATTCTAATTGTTTCGCCCCCACTCTTGCTAAATCAGATGGAAACGAGAACCACATGAAACATACGGAAAGACTTCAGCTCTGAACACTGTAACCCCTCTGAACCAATGTGCAAATATGAACAGTGTCTGCATTCATTGAACAGAGTTTTGAGTTTTGTTTCTTTTGCAATCTGTCATTACTGGATGTATTCAGTCTATAAATCACTGACGTCTTCCTGAGGTCAGTACGGGACCGGTATTTTGGGTCTGGTATGTGGGGCTTGTATTTGGGGTCTGGTATGTGGGGCCGGTATGTGGGGCCGGTATGTGGGGGGCTGGTATGTGGGGGCCGGTATGTGGGGCTTGTATGTGGGGGCTGGTATGTGGGGGGCCGGTATGTGGGGGGCCGGTATGTGGGGGCCGGTATGTGGGGGCTTGTATGTGGGGGCTGGTATGTGGGGGCCGGTATGTGGGGGGCTGGTATATGGGGCCGGTATGTGGGGTTTGGTATGTGGGGTTTGGTATGTGGGGGCGTGTGTGTGTAGGGACCGGTAAGTGTGGACTGGAATGTGGGGGGCTGGTATGTAGGGCAGGCATGTGGGGTTTGGTATGTGGGGGCCTGTGTGTGGGGACCGTTATGTTGGGGCAGGTATGTGGGGGCTGGTATGTTTGGGGCTGGCTGGTATGTGGGGGGCAGGTATGTGGGGGCTTGTATGTGGGGGCTTGTATGTGTGGGGGTTTGTATGTGGGTGATGGTATGTGGGTGCTGGTATGTGGGTGATGGTATGTGGGTGCTTGTATGTGGGGTCTGGTATGTGGGGGCTGTTATATGGGTGCTGTTATATGGGGGGCTGTTATGTGGGGGCTTGTATGTGGGTGATGGTATGTGGGTGCTGGTATGTGGGGTCTGGTTTGTGGGGTCTGGTATGTGGGGACCGGTATGTGGGGGCTGGTATGTGGGGACTGGTATGTGGGGACCGGTATGTGGGGACCGGTATGTGGGGACTGGTATGTGGGGGCTGGTATGTGGGTGATGGTATGTGGGTGCTTGTATGTGGGGTCTGGTATGTGAGGTTTGGTATGTGGGGGCTGTTATGTGGGTGCTGTTATGTGGGGGCTGTTATGTCGGGGCTTGAATGTGGGTGCTGGTATGTGGGTGCTGGTATGTGGGGTCTGGTATGTGGGGGGCTGTTATGTAGGGGGCAGGTGTGGGGCTGGTATGTTGGTGCCGGTATGTGGGGGGGCTGGTATGTAGGGGGCTGGTATGTAGGGGCGGTATTTTTGGGCTGGTATGTGGGCGCCAGTATGTGGTGGCTGGTAGGTTGGGGCTGGTATGTGGGCGCCGGTATGTTGGGACTGGTATGTTTGGGCTGGTATGTAGGGGTTGCAGTATGTGGGGACCGGGTATGTGGGGACCGGTATGTTGGGGCCAGTATGTAGGGGCCAGTATGTAGGGTCGGTGTGTGGGGGCTGGTATGTGGGGGGCTGGTATGTGGGGGGGGCTGGTATGTAGGGACCGGTATGTGGTGTCTGGTATGTGCATGGTGTCTGGTATGTGGGGACCGGTATGTAGGGACCAGTATGTGGGGGCTGGTATGTGGGGACCGGTATGTGGGGACCGGTATGTGGGGACCGGTATGTGGGGACCGGTATGTCGGGGGCTTGTATGTGGGGACTGGTATGTGGGGACTGGTATGTGGGGACTGGTATGTGGGGACTGGTATGTAGGGACCGGTATGTGGGGACCGGTATGTGGGGACCGGTATGTGGGGTCTGTTATGTGCATGGGGACCGGTATGTGGGGACCGGTATGTAGGGGGCTGGTATGTAGGGACCGGTATGTAGGGACCGGTAAAGGGTATAGAGAAAGGTGAATACACTAACACTGTACGGAGAGTCGGAGTGTTTTCTGTGTTTGCCCGAGACCGTTGACTGCCATACAAACGTACACCCCGTCGTTCTCCCTCTCGACACGAGCCAGGGTCAGCAACCCTCCTGTCACCAGCACGTTGGAAGGGAGCGAGCCGTTAGCCTGCGGATATATACACAACAGAAATACAGGGTGTTTGATGGACAATATCAGGATATGTGTCACGCAAAAAGTGCAAAACTGGCTTCTTATTGTTCATATATAGTTAACACTCCATGTAACATATCACGTTGAAATTCAAATCTGTGGTACGAGCCTACCACTTCCGGCCTCCAACTCACTACCACTACAAGAGTGCAGCCGGCTAAGATCTGTCATATCTCAGTAGGTGATGCGAGTATCAGTGAGTCCAACTCTCTACCACTACAAGAGTGCAGCCGGCTAAGATCTATCATACAACAGTAGGTGATGCGAGTATCAGTGAGTCCAACTCTCTTCCACTGCAAGAGTGCAGCCGGCTAAGATCTGTCATATCTCAGTAGGTGATGCGAGTATCAGTGAGTCCAACTCTCTACCACAACAAAAGTGCAGCCGGCTAAGATCTATCATACATCAGTAGGTGATGCGAGTATCAGTGAGTCCAACTCTCCACCACTATAAGAGTGCAGCCGGCTAAGATCTGTCATATCTCAGTAGGTGATGCGAGTATCAGTGAGTCCAACTCTCTACCACTACAAGAGTGCAGCCGGCTAAGATCTGTCATATCTCAGTAGGTGATGCGAGTATCAGTGAGTCCAACTCTCTACCACTACAAAAGTGCAGCCGGCTAAGATCTATCATACATCAGTAGGTGATGCGAGTATCAGTGAGTACAACTCTCTACCACTACAAGAGTGCTCGTCATATGAGCGAAATATTCTCAAGCACGACGTTAAACCCAATTCCACCACCACCACTACAAGAGTGCAGCCTGCTAAGATCTATCATACATCAGTAGGTGATGCGAGTATCAGTGAGTCCAACTCTCTACCACTACAAGAGTGCAGCCGGCTAAGATCTGTCATATCTCAGTAGGTGATGCGAGTATCAGTGAGTCCAACTCTCTACCACTACAAGAGTGCAGCCGGCTAAGATCTATCATATCTCAGTAGGTGATGCGAGTATCAGTGAGTACAACTCTCTACCACTACAAGAGTGCTCGTCATATGAGCGAAATATTCTCAAGCACGACGTTAAACCCAATTCCACCACCACCACTACAAAAGTGCAGCCGGCTAAGATCTATCATACATTAGTAGGTGATGCGAGTATCAGTGAGTACAACTCTCTACCACTACAAGAGTGCTCGTCATATGAGCGAAATATTCTCAAGCACGACGTTAAACCCAATTCCACCACCACCACTACAAAAGTGCAGCCTGCTAAGATCTATCATACATCAGTAGGTGATGCGAGTATCAGTGAGTCCAACTCTCTACCACTACAAGAGTGCTCGTCATATGAGCGAAATATTCTCAAGCACGACGTTAAACCCAATTCCACCACCACCACTACAAAAGTGCAGCCTGCTAAGATCTACCATACATCAGTAGGTGATGCGAGTATCAGTGAGTCCAACTCTCTACCACTACAAGAGTGCAGCCGGCTAAGATCTGTCATACATCAGTAGGTGATGCGAGTATCAATGAGTCCAACTCTCTACCACTACAAGAGTGCAGCTGGCAAAGATCTGTCATACATCAGTAGGTGATGCGAGTATCAGTGAGTCCAACTCTCTACCACTACAAGAGTGCAGCCGGCTAATATCTGTTATACATCAGTAGGTGATACGAGTATCAGTGAGTCCCTGTATGAGACATCATCATCTCTATACATGGATTCGCCTCTGAATGATCAGGCGGCAAATTACGCCCAGGTTAATGCTGTTTATCCGGTGAATTCTGACGCGCTTGGCATTAGTATAATGAATGTTTACAAAACATTAATTGTCCCCAATCACTCGTTATGCGATGGCATATTTGTTTCCATGACAATGTGTGCCTGTATTGTACTCTGACAGGACTGTTTCTGTGACAGGTGTATTTCCCTAATGCGTACCACCACATCCGTATTTCACCAGTAATCAAGTGGCGTGCTCACCTTCCTCCAGCTGACACGGGGGGTTGGGTTCCCCTCTGCCGCACATCGCACTGAAACAGCAGACCCTAACTCCGTCGTCAGGGTGCTAGTATTCGGAGTAAGAGCTATCACTGGTAAACGTGCAGGCCCTGCATAAAACAAAAATAAACACTGAATTGAATACGTTCATTGCCATTTACACTGTGTGAACGTGTACGTTCAATGTCTCACGCAGAGCCGAAACCACTGAGGAGTAACCCGTGTGCTCGGATCACATGCTCGGAGTGTCGTTGTACTGCCAAATGGTGATGTAATCAGGATTGTAGCACCAAGATGTTTTGCTCACAGCGTATACACACAGATGGACAAGACGTGGCAGGCTATCCAAACCTTCACCATTGGTACTTTTTGTTTTGTGTAGATTACAGTGTTAATGTTTCCGAAAGGTTTAAGGTTTCTCACCCACGGCTGTACAAGACCAGGGAGAGTCTGACACTGGTTCCCCACCCACGGCTGTCCAAGACCAGGGAGAGTCTGACACTTGTTTCTCACCCACGGTTGTACAAGACAAGGGAGAGTCTGACACTGATTTCTCACCCACGGTTGTACAAGACCAGGGAGAGACTGACACTGGTTTCTCACCCACGGTTGTACAAGACCAGGGAGACACTGAAACTGGTTTCTCACCCACGGTTGTACAAGACCAGGGAGAGTCTGACACTGACTTCTCACCCACAGTTGTACAAGACAAGGGAGAGACTGACACTGGTTTCTCACCCACGGTTGTACAAGACGAGGGAGAGTCTGACACTGGTTTCTCACCCACGGTTGTAGAAGACTAGGGAGACTCTGACACTGGTTTCTCAACCACGGTTGTACAAGACCAGGGAGACACTGACACTGGTTTCTCAACCACGGTTGTACAAGACCAGGGAGAGACTGACACTGGTTTCTCACCCACGGTTGTACAAGACCAGGGAGACACTGACGCTGGTTTCTCACCCACGGTTGTACAAGACCAGGGAGAGTCTGACACTGGTTTCTCACCCACGGTTGTACAAGACCAGGGAGAGACTGACACTGGTTTCTCACCCACGGTTGTACAAGACGAGGGAGAGACTGACACTGGTTTCTCACCCACGGCTGTACAAGACCAGGGAGAGTCTGACACTGGTTTCTCAACCACGGTTGTACAAGACCAGGGAGAGACTGACACTGGTTTCTCACCCACGGTTGTACAAGACGAGGGAGAGACTGACACTGGTTTCTCACCCACTGTTGTACAAGACCAGGGAGAGACTGACACTGGTTTCTCACCCACGGTTGTACAAGACCAGGGAGAGTCTGACACTGGTTTCTCAACCACGGTTGTACAAGACCAGGGACAGTCTGACACTGGTTTCTCACCCACGGTTGTACAAGACCAGGCAGAGTCTGACACTGGTTTCTCACCCACGGTTGTACATGACGAGGGAGACACTGACACTGGTTTCTCACCCACGGTTGTACAAGACAAGGGAGAGTCTGACACTGGCTTATCACCCACTGTTGTACAAGACCAGGGAGAGACTGACACTGGTTTCTCACCCACGGTTTTACAAGACCAGGGAGAGACTGACACTGGTTTCTCACCCACGGTTGTACATGACCAGGGAGAGTCTGACACTGGTTTCTCACCCACGGTTGTAGAAGATCAGGGAGAGTCTGACACTGGTTTCTCACCCACGGTTGTAGAAGACAAGGGAGAGTCTGACACTGGTTTCTCACCCTAGGTTGTACAAGACCAGGGAGAGTCTGACACTGGTTTCTCGACCACGGTTGTACAAGACCAGGCAGAGTCTGACACTGGTTTCTCACCCACGGTTGTACATGACGAGGGAGACACTGACACTGGTTTCTGACCCACGGTTGTACAAGACCAGGGAGAGTCTGACACTGGCTTATCACCCACTGTTGTACAAGACCAGGGAGAGACTGACACTGGTTTCTCACCCACGGTTTTACAAGACCAGGGAGAGACTGACACTGGTTTCTCACCCACGGTTGTACATGACCAGGGAGAGTCTGACACTGGTTTCTCACCCACGGTTGTACAAGACCAGGGAGAGTCTGACACTGGTTTCTCACCCACGGTTGTACAAGACCAGGGAGACACTGACACTGGTTTCTCACCCACGGTTGTACAAGACGAGGGAGAGACTGACACTGGTTTATCAACCACGGCTGTACAAGACCAGGGAGACACTGACACTGGTTTCTCACCCACGGTTGTACAAGACCAGGGAGAGACTGACACTGGTTTCTCACCCACGGTTGTACAGGAGACCAGGGAGAGACAAGGTTTCTCACCCACGGTTGGATCAGGGAGAGTCTGACACTGGTTTCTCAACCACGGTTGTACAAGACCAGGGAGAGTCTGACACTGGTTTCTCACCCACGGTTGTACAAGACCAGGGAGAGACTGACACTGGTTTCTCACCCACGGTTGTACAAGACGAGGGAGAGTCTGACACTGGCTTATCACCCACTGTTGTACAAGACCAGGGAGAGACTGACTCTGGTTTCTCACCCACGGTTTTACAAGACCAGGGAGAGACTGACACTGGTTTCTCACCCACGGTTGTACATGACCAGGGAGAGTCTGACACTGGTTTCTCACCCACGGTTGTACAAGACCAGGGAGAGTCTGACACTGGTTTCTCACCCACGGTTGTACAAGACCAGGGAGACACTGACACTGGTTTCTCACCCACGGTTGTACAAGACCAGGGAGAGACTGACACTGGTTTATCAACCACGGCTGTACAAGACCAGGGAGACACTGACACTGGTTTCTCACCCACGGTTGTACAAGACCAGGGAGAGACTGACACTGGTTTCTCACCCACGGTTGTACAAGACCAGGGAGAGACTGACACTGGTTTCTCAACTACGGTTGTACAAGATCAGGGAGAGTCTGACACTGGTTTCTCACCCACGTTTGTACACGACGAAGGAGACACTGACACTGGTTTCTGACCCACGGTTGTACAAGACCAGGGAGAGTCTGACACTGGTTTCTCACCCACTGTTGTGCAAGATCAGGGAGACACTGACACTGGTTTCTCACCCACGGTTGTACATGACCAGGGAGAGTCTGACACTGGTTTCTCACCCACGGTTGTACAAGACCAGGGAGAGACTGACACTGGTTTCTCACCCACGGTTGTACAAGACCAGGGAGACACTGACACTGGTTTCTCACCCACGGTTGTACAAGACCAGGGAGAGACTGACACTGGTTTATCAACCACGGCTGTACAAGACCAGGGAGACACTGACACTGGTTTCTCACCCACGGTTGTACAAGACCAGGGAGAGACTGACACTGGTTTCTCACCCACGGTTGTACAAGACCAGGGAGAGACTGACACTGGTTTCTCAACTACGGTTGTACAAGATCAGGGAGAGTCTGACACTGGTTTCTCACCCACGTTTGTACACGACGAAGGAGACACTGACACTGGTTTCTGACCCACGGTTGTACAAGACCAGGGAGAGTCTGACACTGGTTTCTCACCCACTGTTGTACAAGACCAGGGAGACACTGACACTGGTTTCTCACCCACGGTTGTACAAGACCAGGGAGAGACTGACTCTGGTTTCTCACCCACGGTTGTACATGACCAGGGAGAGACTGACACTGGTTTCTCACCCACGGTTGTAAAGACCAGGAGAGTCTGACACTGGTTTCTCACCCACGGTTGTACAAGACCAGGGAGAGACTGACACTGGTTTCTCACCCACGGTTGTACAAGACGAGGGAGAGACTGACACTGGTTTCTCAACCACGGCTGTACAAGACCAGGGAGAGTCTGACACTGGTTTCTCAACCACGGTTGTACAAGACCAGGGAGAGACTGACACTGGTTTCTCACCCACGGTTGTACAAGACGAGGGAGAGACTGACACTGGTTTCTCACCCACGGTTGTACAAGACCAGGGAGAGACTGACATTGGTTTCTCACCCACGGTTGTACAAGACCAGGAGAGTCTGACACTGGTTTCTCACCCACGGTTGTACAAGACCAGGGAGAGTCTGACACTGGTTTCTCAACCACGGTTGTAGAAGACCAGGGAGAGACTGACACTGGTTTCTCACCCACGGTTGTACAAGACCAGGAGACACTGACTCTGGTTTCTCAACCACGGTTGTACAAGACGAGGGAGAGACTGACACTGGTTTCTCACCCACGGTTGTACAAGACCAGGGAGAGACTGACACTGGTTTCTCACCCACGGTTGTACAAGATCAGGAGAGTCTGACACTGGTTTCTCACCCACGGTTTGTACACGACGAGGGAGACACTGACACTGGTTTCTGACCCACGGTTGTACAAGACCAGGGAGAGTCTGACACTGGTTTCTCACCCACTGTTGTGCAAGATCAGGGAGACACTGACACTGGTTTCTCACCCACGGTTGTACAAGACCAGGGAGAGACTGACACTGGTTTCTCACCCACGGTTGTACAAGATCAGGGAGAGTCTGACACTGGTTTCTCACCCACGGTTGTACACGACGAGGGAGACACTGACACTGGTTTCTGACCCACGGTTGTACAAGACCAGGGAGAGTCTGACACTGGTTTCTCACCCACTGTTGTGCAAGATCAGGGAGACACTGACACTGGTTTCTCACCCACGGTTGTACAAGACCAGGGAGAGACTGACACTGGTTTCTCACCCACGGTTGTACAAGACCAGGGAGACACTGACACTGGTTTCTGACCCACGGTTGTACAAGACCAGGGAGAGTCTGACACTGGTTTCTCACCCACAGTTGTACAAGACAAGGGAGAGTCTGACACTGGTTTCTCACCCACGGCTGTACAAGATCAGGGTGACACTGACACTGGTATCTCACCCACGGTTGTACAAGACCAGGGAGAGTCTGACACTGGTTTCTCACCCACGGTTGTACAAGACCAAGGAGAGACTGACACTGGTTTCTCAACCACGGTTGTACAAGACCAGGGAGAGACTGACACTGGTTTCTCACCCACGGTTGTACAAGACCAGGGAGAGTCTGACACTGGTTTCTCACCCACGGTTGTACATGACGAGGGAGAGTCTGACACTGGTTTCTCACCCACGGTTGTACAAGACGA